CAGTGTATGGCCACCTTTTATGGTGCTGTAGCCCCATCTGCTTCAAGGTTCAATGTGTTGTGTGCTCAGAGATGGTATTCGGCATACCTCAGATGTAACGAGTGCTTATTTGAGTTACTGTTGCATTTCTATTATCTAGAACCAGTCTGCCCATTCTCCTCTGACATCTACAAGGCATTTTCATCCAAACAACTGCTGCTCACTGGATATTTTCTCCAGTAGAAATCCCAGTGGATCAACAGTTTTTTTAAATACTCAGACCAGCCCGTATGGCACCAACAACCATGCCACGTTCAAAGTCACTTAAATCCCCTTTCTTCCCCATTCTGATACTCGGTTTGAACTTCAGCAAGTCGTCTTCGCCACATCTAGATGCCTAAATGCATCGAGTTGCTGCCATGTGATTGGCCGATTAGCAATTTGTGTTACTGAGCAATTGAACAGGTGTACCTATTAAAGTGGCTGATGAGTGTATATCTGCAGCCTATAAGATAAAGGGTAGAGGACAGCAATTTAAAACCCAATTGCATGGAAAGGAGCCTGATAACAGACATGCTCTGGCAGGATTGGCCGCACATTGTCAGATGTTCCACTAGCCGGAGTGTCTGGTGTGAGACTGTATTAGGGCTTGTTCACACCAAATGCAGACCAGGTCTGCATGAGTTTCTGCACACGCAGTGCAGTGGGTTTTGCTGCGTTTTTTGATGCGTTCCGGGACGTTTTTAATTTAAAATGGGCTTTCAGTGCATTCCAGAGCAGGTAAAATAAGGCTTGCTGCAGTTTTTTTTACATGCTCTGGAACTGAACGCTGCGGTGTGAACTAGAGCCCAAAATACCATTGGAATACATTGGACGCAGTTTTGATCCGGTCTGTAACTGCTCTGCTCCTGGAACGCGCTTGGTGTGGACAAGGCCTTACAGAACTATGTACAGAGATTCTAAAGCTGCCCATACACCTTGCGATCATCAGACAAAATGTTTTGTCCGATGATTGAACCGTCGTACGATTTTCGTACGGTGGCCCCATCCTGGCCCGATTTATCGCAAGGTTTAATCAGCTGTAGTTAAAAAAAAACACCTGGACGAATTGCGGTAATCGCACGTATTTTCATTTGCGCATGAGCAGTGTTAATCGTAC